CCCAACACGGGACTGAACCCACAAACCGTGAGATCATGACCTGAGCCAAAGTCAGACGCTTAACTGACTGAGCCACCCAGGCGCCCCAATAAATACTTGTTTAAATGAATGAATCTGACCAGTCATTCCTTCAAAAACTTAATAAATATCCAGTCACTCTGCTGGGTGCTTCAAGAAAAGAGGATGAATAAAAAAGCCTGATTCCTGATCCTCAAAAGCACTCTAACAGAGAAAAACACTTAAGTAAATAATTTTAACACTATATATAAAAACTATAGTCAAGGGGCACCTGGGTGGCTCAATCAGTTAAGCATCCAACTCTTGATTTTGGCTCAGGTCGTGATCTCATGCATCGGTCACTGGATCAATTCCCCCATCGGGTTCTGCACTCACAACACAGCGCCTGCTTGGGATTCTCTCTCTCCCTCTCTGTCCTTCCCCCACTTGTGCTCACTCTCTCTCTCAAAATAAATAAACTTTTTTTTGAAAAAGCTATAATAGAGACATTCTCAGCTTTGCTGGCAGTATCACAGTCAATGAGGTTTATCTGGGGTGCAATTATTGCTAACGTAATAGACATTCTAACTGTCAAGGGGGCTAAAAGATATGAAAGACCTTTTTGACAACTGCTTTATAGTTTTGAATTTGAACTACTCATCTAACCTTCATGAGTACTATAACCATAACAATCATATTCAGCTTTCAAAACACTATTAAATATTGTTTAGGTGACATTTTATTTGCAATGTTTCATTATAACTTTTATGTTTGCAACATCAACTGGCAGCACCTCATGTACCTATCAGGGAGAAAATAGAATATATCAATCCTCTGCTGGGGTATGGAATACTTACTGTAGGTATCATAAAATGCTTAAGTCACAGTTACAGTTTACCAAACTTATTAATATATAAATAATAGTATACATAATTATGAATTTTAATACTTAATTCATATTTTCCTATTATCTCAAGCTAAAACTAAGATCAGTCAACATCAACAACAGAAAGATACAAAGAACATTGCAGGGAATAATGCAATCCTGACAGAAGAAATAGTTAATGTAGCAGATAAAGATAACTATAAATTCTGTTACTCTTCCCATTGAGAAATGAAGTCTAAATGCCTTTCCCTTGTTGACTACCGTTAATACTGTACTGCATATTTGAAAACTACTAAGAAATTAGATCTTAAATTCTCATCACAAGAAAAAAATTGTTAACTGCATGGTGATGCATGTTAACTAGACTTATGATGATTTCACAATATATACTTCAAATACCAAATCATTATGTTGTATACTTAAAGCTAACATATCAATTAGATCCCCCAAATAAATAAATATCTTTCCCTTGAATTTGGGCTGGACTTAGGGATCTGCCTGACCAACAGAATACAGAAGTGACTTCCAAGGCTAGATTCTAGGAAGCTTGAGGTTTCCAGCCACGGTTCTCTGGGAACATTCACACTCCTGTGAGCCCTGAGCTGCCATAGATCAATATTCTGGGGTTCCTATGCTGATCAAAACACATGGTGAAACCTCTAAGAAAGGCCTTGTGACTTTATGAAGAGCTCATCCATTCCAGCCCCCAACCATGTAATCCCAGCTGAGGCCCCACACACCAAGGAGCAATGGTAAGTCCAGTCCACAGAGCCCTGCCCAAATCTCTCAGATATATGAGGAAAATAGAAAACTGTTATTTTAAGCCACTAAGTTTTGAGGTAATTTGTAAAGTACCAATAGATAACCAGAACTACATAATGCTTCCAGATCCTTGACTAAAAAGAAAATAAAAGAAAATCATTCAGTTTCTCTCTGAGGTAGGAATGGGGAGGGTGAATGTGCTTACAACAGATTCAGTTAGCATTTGAAGTAAATCGGTCATCCGATTATTACAAACAGACCTGAATTAAAGAACTCCAGTCCATGCTGCCTTTGATAATTTGGGCACAGGGGAGAATTGGGGGTGGGGGAGTAGACCACTATAAACTTGAATAAAGAGAAGAAAAAAGGGAAAATATTTGTACAAATTACCCATACCAATTTTGATAGTAAGCTTCTGGTTCTATGTAAGTGCTTAGATTTGCTTGAGATCAGGCAAAAGAAAGCACCCAATGAGATCTACTATTGGTTAAAGGATTGTCTTTATCCTTTTTGAGGGATCATGTACCTCAGCTATAAGCCTTTTCTCCCTAAAAATATACACATGTACTGGGGCACACGGGTGGCTCAGTCGGCTAACCACCCAACTCTTGATTTCAGCTCAGGTCATTATCTCAAGGTTTGTGAGTTTGAGTACCACATAGAGCTCTGTGCTAACGGTGTGGATCCTGTTTGGGATTCTCTCTCTCCGCCCCTCCCCTGCTTGTGCTCATGCATACACACGCTCTCTCAAAATAAATTTTTAAAAATACACATGTACAAATACAAAACACTCCATACAATTTCAGTGATTTTCAGCCTTTAGGGTCCATGAACTTTGGGTTTAGAATCTTTTTAGAGGATTATTCAGTAATTGTTCACAAATCCACTAGATAATGCTGGCAACTGTTAGAATTATAGGAAAGTTATTTTACTCAAATTCACAAAATAATTTTTCACCCAACAACACAGAACTCAGCAATTAAAGTCTTGTGTGATTTTACTGTCCACCTATATTTTAACATAAAATTGTTACTCAACTGCAATATCTTAGCACCAGATAACGAATTTCTGAGGCATGCTTCAGAAGATACATCCTTCTTAAAGAACCTGGTTTAAGTTAAGATTGTCTCTCGGGGACAGTGGTTCAGTCTCATGCTGCTGATACTGTACAGTAATAACATGAGATTCTAACTCTTGCTCATAAGCCTCTTAAAGGCAAGAGTTCAGCTTCATACCTCTTTAAGTCCTTAGCATCCAACACTGAAATTGTACTGGGTCTTGATTATGAATAATGATGCTAGTCAAACAGAATGGAGCAACAGTTCTCAAACTTTTTGGTCTCAGGGCTCTTACACTCTTAAAAAAAAGTATTTGGAACTTCATAAAACTTTTGTTAGGTTAGTTATATTTATTCAGGTTTATAGTTAAGACACTGAAACAGAAATGTTTTAATTATTTATTAATTCATTTAAAAAAAAAACCCGCTATATATTAATAACATATTTGTATTGAAAATAAAATGAGAAGAACAAGTTTTTTCCATTGAGAAGAACAACATGATTTTGCATATTTGCAAATCTCTTTAACGTCTTTAATAGCAGCTAGATTTTCACATCTGCTTCTACATTTCAATCTGTTGTGATATCACAAGTCATGTTAGTGTTTAAAAAACACCACTGAAAACAAAGGAAAGGATAAGAGTGAAAAGATAATGTCCTAGTATTATCATGTATAGTTTTGGCCTCAAAGACCCTCTGAAAAAGAATCTAAAGAACCTGTGGCCACCTGTTAGTGTACTAAGTCCTCTATTTCTTTTATGTCTCTCTCAATGATTGGAATTCAAACTAGAGCAATAAATTCTATAATTTAGTTCATAATTCTGTACATTGCTCTTTCATCAGACTATAGTAAATTTCAACATGCTTCCTAGCATCAAAATAAAAGGCTGATGAAACTAAGCATTTACACCTGTTCTTTCCTCCCTGGTAACCAAGTAAACAACTATCCAGGGAGATACTTATAATGCCACTTATAATTCTCATACCAACTTGGGAATTAATCTAGACTGTTAAGAAGAGCCATCTAAAATTAATCTAGATTATGATTAAGCTTTAAAAATACCAATGTACACTTGCACAATAGAACAAATCCACAAAAGCCTCACTTTAACCCGGTTAAAAGCCAGGGGAATAAGTGTGTTAAATTTAAAAGTTCAAGTACATTATGGAGTTGAATGAAAACTAAGTTTTCTAGATAACTATCATTAAACAAGGGAAAGATCCAAAAAGACTTTAAAAAGTCAAAGTCATCTGAACAAACAAGACGAAGTCCAGACACAAACGTTATGAATTAAAAACTAGCCATAAACGTGGTTAACTGGAAAAGGATGAGGAAGAAAAACTTACCAAGCAAAACTGAACACTCCTGATCGAGTGCAAATCTCAAGTAAATTTTTGATATTAACACTGAGATGGAGCACTCTGCTACAATAGGCAGCTTTCCGTGAATGTTATGCAACTGCTCTACATACACGAAGTTTTCCTATCCTTTCCTTCAAAAGTATCAGTCAGCTTCAGGTTAATGCCCAGATGCAATGTTTTCCGTTGCCCTAGCAGTTTTGTTCTACTTTGTTTCTTGGTTATTCTGAGTGCTCTCTTACAACTGGAGAGTTGCTGAACCAATCCCGAGTAAGAAATGGGAAAGTACAAGAAAAGAGGCGACAGCTCTGCACCACCACACGGAAAAAGACTCAGCAGAGCAGCGGCGGCCCTGCCCAAGCTGCAATCCGAACAGAAAGCAGAGCTTTTTAGGTCCCCAGCAACACCAGACGTCTCCCGCCCCCACGTCCCCACTCCTGGACAATCTAAACACCGAAAACCAAAAAGTGGAGTCCACCCGCTTTTCAGGGCCACAGAGCCTCCCGGGCTGGGATTCTCTCCCGTTACATAACTGGGGCCTAGGGCTCTGCTTCTGCAGTCAGTCCCCAGGACAGGGAGACAGACATGTTCCCCAGAGACCCTCTCAGGGAGGCTGATTCTGGGCTCTGCACCTGGCAGACCCCGGAAAAAGAAGGGGGAACGACTCGAGGGAGGCCGCGATCACAGACGCTGGGGCCCGGGGGGTGATTAGCAGGCCGGGAAAGGAGCAGGGCGGCTCACGGAGGCCCGCGGCAGGCCCCAGCGTCTCCGCCACTAGTCCACTCCCCTCCCTCTCCGGCCGAGTCCCCACCGGCCGCCCCCTCCCCCATTCCGCTCTCCCCTCCCCCGCGCCTCCATCCCCGGCCCCAGCCGAGAGGCAGGCGCACCAGCCGCTTATGGCCTCGGCCATTACCATCGGACCGTTCCCAGCCCGGTACCTGGTCAGACATGGTGACGGTGGCTTCACCCAGGGTCTCCGCACAGCAGCGGCCTCGGGTAGGCAGAACCTCGCTCCGGGGTTTACAAATCCGTCTCTCTTCCCCACAGAACAACACCGCGGCTGGAGGGACTTCCGCTACGCGTCTCGTCACTTCCGTTACGCGTTGGGAGGAGGGATCGGGAAAAGAGGAAAGGCGAGGCGGGAAAACGGGTGGGGGAAGCCGCCCGGAGGCGGGATGGCCAGACAGCTGCTTTATTGGTGGTAGCGCAAGTGAATTAACACCAGTCTCCCCAGCTGCACTGAGGACTAGACCTTTCGCCTCCGTCCGGAGCCTGTTCTCCGGGGGAAAAGTTCCCGGTCCCCAGTCTCAGTGTTTGCAACCGTACTGACAGCCTAACTCCCGCCCCTCCGACACTTTGCACGTTTTTGAAAGCTGAGCCAAGATATTTCTATTGTCCCTTCCTGGCCATGGTCGTCAACTTCCCTAAATAAATTCGATTGAATACCAGTACTTCTTACTTTAGAGCTCACTTTTCGTTAATCAGCCACCCGGCCTGACACAGGACCTTAATTTTTTAAAAAGCAAAACAAAATTAAAGGATCCTATTGGACACAATCTTGATGGCTACTGATGAGATTCTTGGGAAAGTTCTAAACTAGTAGGGAGGAGGAGGTAATTCCAACTCTTGAATTCGTTGCTTTGAGCTAAAAAATTATTCTTACATGATTTCTGTGGCCCTGCTGGCATAGGGTAGAAGATAAGGAACTAGGTAAATGAAATAAAATTGAGATTCTGGAAATAAATCAATAAACCCTCATACATTGATTAATCTTTGACAAGAATACCAGGGCAATTTAATGGTAAAAGAAGTCAAGAAGTCTTTCAACAAATGTTTCTGGGACAACTGGATATCCACGTGGAAAAGAGTGAATTTGGATCACTACCTCACAACATATGAAAAATTAACTTTAAATGGGGGTCAGAGGCCTAAATGTAAGAGCCAACTTAAAACTCTTAGGAAAAAAAAAGGCATAAATCTTCTAGACCATTGATTAGGCAATGGATTCTTAGATATAACACCAAAAACAGAAACAACCAAACAAAAATAAATAAAACTTCATCAAAATTAAAAACTGTCTTTCGTGGGGCGCCTGGATGGCTCAGTCAGTTAAGCGCCCAACTTCAGCTCAGGTCATGATCTCCGGGTTCTGGGTTCTAGTCGCCCATGGGGCTCTGTGTTGACAGCTAGCTCATAGCCTGGAGCCTGTCTTCCGATTCTGTGTCTCCCTCTCTGAACTTCCCCTGCTCATGCTGTGTCTCTCTCTCCCAAAAATAAATAAAACGTTTAAATAAATAAATAATTTTTAAAAATAAAAATAAAAACTGTCTTTGGTGTTGAAAAATCTGAAGAATATATTTGCAAATAGTATATCTGATAATGACCTTATATTCAGAATACACAAAGAACTATTACAATTCAACTATAAAAAGATCAATAATACAATTTTTTAAATGTTTATTTTTGAAAGAGAATGTGAACAGGGTAGGGGCAAAGAGAGAGGGAGACAAAGAATCCCAAGCAGGCTCTGTGCTGTCAGCAAAGAGCCCAATGCGGGACTCAAACTCATGACCATGAGATCATGACCTGAGCCAAAATCAACAGTCAGGCACTTAACCACCCAGGCCCCCCATCATACAAAAACAGTTACACAAATATTAACAGCAGCATTATTCATAATAGCAAAAAAGTGGAAATCATCCAAATGCCAACAACTAACTAATGGACAAACAAAAGCAGTATCACATAAAATGGAATACTACTGGGCCATGAAAATGAACTACTCATACAATGTGGATGACCCTTGAAAACATGTTAAACAAAGGGAAACAGCCTCAAAGAGTGATTCTATTTTCTTTTATTCCTTTATTTTGACAGAGAGAGAGAGAGAGAGTGAGGAGAGAAGGGGCAGAGAGAGAGGGAGACAGGGAACCCCAGCAGGCTCTGTGCTGTCAGTTCAGAGCCCAACACAAGGCTCAGACTCACAAACCATGAGATCATGACCTGAGCCGAAATCAAGAGTCTAAAACTTAACGAAATGTGCCACTGAGGTGCCCCAAGAATGATTCTATTTATATGATGTGTCCACAATAGGCAAATCTATAGAGACAGAAAATAGATTACATGCATACCTCAGAAATGTTGAAGGCTTGGTTCCAGACCACTGCAATAAAGTAAGTATCACAATAAAGCTAGTCAAATGAATTTTTTAGTTTTTTAGGGCATATAAAAGTTACATTTACACTACACTAGTAGTCTATTTAGTGTGCAATAGTATTATGTCTAGAAAACAATATATATACTTGGGGCGCCTGGGTGGCTTAGTCGGTTAAGCGTCCGACTTTCGCTTAGGTCATGATCTCGCAGTTCGTGGGTTCGAGGCCCACGTCGGGCTCTGTGCTGACTGCCAGCTCAGAGCCTGGAGCCTGTTTCAGTCTGTGACTCCCTCTCTCTCTGACCCTCCCCTGCTCACGCTGTCTCTCTTTCTCTTTCCTAGAAATAAATAAAACATAAAAAAAAAAAAAAGAAAACAATGTATATACCTTAATTTTCAAATATTTTATTGCTAAAAAATGCTAAACATCATTTGTGCTTCCAGCAAGTCATCATTTTGCTGATGGAGGGTCTGGCCTCAATGTTGAGGGCTGATGGCTGATCAGGGTGGTGGTTACTAAAGAATGGGGTGGTTGTGGCAATTTCTTAAAAGAAGACAACACTGAAATTTGCCACATTGATTGACTCTTCCTTTCACAAGCTAGTTCTTTATGGCATGTGATGCTGTTTGATAGCACTTTACACACAGTAGAACCTCTTTCAAAATTAGAGTCAATCATCTCAAACCCTGCCACTCCTTTATCAACTAATTTTATGTAATGTTCTAAATGTTTCGTTGTCATTTCAAAAATCTTCACACTGTCTTCACCGAAGTAATCTCCCTGTCAAGAAACGACTTTCTTCACTTATCCATAAGAAACAACTCTTTGTCTATTGAAGTTTTATCATAAGATTGCAGGAAATCAGTCAAATCTTCAAGCTCCATTTCTAATTCTAGTTTTCTCGCTGTTTCCAGCACATCTGCAGTTACTTTTTCCTCTGAAGACTTGAGCCTTTCAAAGTCATCCATGAAGGTTGGACTCAATGTCTCCCAAACTCCCATTCATGTTGAAATTTTGATCTCTTCCAATGAATCACAAATGTTCTTAAATGGCATCTGGTATGGTGAATTCTTTCCAGAAGATTTTCAATTTACTTTGCCCACAGCCATCAGAGGAATTACATCATTGTTTATGGCTGTTATAGCCATATAAAATATATTTCTTAAATAATAGGCCTTGAAAGTCAAAATGACTCCTTGATCTATAGACTACAGGATGGATGTTGTCTTAGTGGTCATAAAAAAAACAACATTATTCTTGTTGTCCACCTTTATCAGAGCTCTTATGTGACCAGCTCATTGTTAATAAGCAGTAATATTTGGAAAGGAATATCTTTTTTTTTGCTGAGATCTTATGTGACCAGCTCATTGTTAATAAACAGTAATATTTGGAAAGACATATCTTTCTTTTTCTGAGCAGTAGGTCTCAAAAGTAAACATACATGCTGTCATCCAGGCATGTATTTTGTTGTTTCATTTATGGAGCACAGGCAGAATAGACAGAGCGTAATTCTTATAGGACCTATGATTTTGATAACAGTTAATGAGCATTGACTTCAACTTAAAGTTACCAACTGCATTAGTCCCTAATAAGAGAGTCAACTTGTCCTTTGAGGCTGTGAAGCCAAGCATTGCCTTTTCCTCTCTTGCTATTGGAAGTCTTAGATAACATCTTCTTCCCATTGAGGGACATTTCATCTACATTCAAAATCTTTGTAGTCAGCTTCATTAATTATCTTTGCTGGATCTTCTGGATTACTTGCTGCAGCTTCTACATCAGCACTTGCTGCTTCATCTTGTACTTTTATGTTATAGAGATGGCTCCTTTTATTGAGCCTCAGGAACCAACCTCTGCTAACTTCCAACTTTTCTTCTGTAGCTTCCTCACCTCTCTCTGACTTCATAGAATTAAAGAGAGTTAGGGCCTTGCTCAGGATTAGGTTTTGACTTAAGGGAATGTTGTGACTGGTTTGATCTTCTATCCAGACCACGAAAACTATCTCCATATCAGCAATAGGCCCATTTGGCAATCTTGTCATTTACATAATTCACTGGAGTAGCATTTTTTTAAATTTATGTATTCATTTTGAGAGAGTGTGGGAGCATGCACACAAGTAGGGGAAAGGCAGAAAGATTGAGAGAGAGAATCTCAAACAGGCTCTGCACTGTCAGCATGGAGCCCAATGTGGGGCTCAAACTCATGAATCATGAGATCATGATGCAAGCCAAAGTCAGATGCTCAGCTGATGGAGTCACCCAGGTGCCCCTACAGTAACACTTTTAATTTCTTTCAAGAACTTTTCCTTTGCACTCACAACTTGGCTGTTTGGAGAACACCTGACTATTTCAGTCAGTAGAGAATTCAACTCTTGATCTCGGGTCATGAATTCAAGCCTTGTTGGAAGTGGAGCATGCTTTAAAAAAAATAAATAAGGGGCGTCTGGGTGGCTCAGTCGGTTAAGTGTCCGACTTCGGTTCAGGTCATGATCTCACAGTCTGTGGGTTTGAGCCCCACATCGGGCTCTGTGCTGACAGCTCATAGCCTGGAGCCTTTTTCAGATTCTGTTTTTCCTTCTCTCTCTGCCCCTCTCCCTCTCGCTCTCTGTCTCTGTCTCTCAAAATAAAATAAAGACATTAAAATTTTTTTAATAAAATAAAATAAATGTAAAAATACAAAAATAAAAACAACTTGGGTGTTTGGCACAAGAGGCCTGCCTACCTAGGCTTTCAACACACCTTCCCCTCTAAGCTTAATCATATCTAGTTTTGGATTGAAAGTGAGAGACATGAGACTCTTCCTTTCACTTGAACTCATTGTAGGGTTTATTAATGAGTCTAATCTCAATATTGTGTCTCAGGGAATAGGGAGGCCTGAGGAGTTGGAGAGAGGCAGGAATGGCCAGTCAGTGGAGCAGTCAGAACACACATT